GGGTGTATAGAGCGTGTATTAAGAGCCCTGTTTATGTCGCACAAATAACTAAATAGAGAGAGAGAATAAAAACATAAACAACCATGGGGTATGTTTTAGCTACTTCATTTTCTGGTCTTCAATTTTCACAATTAATACATATTCCTACTCAATAACCCTTTTCACGGTACAAAGAACAACAAGAACAACGTTACCGAAGACGGGGTCAGCCATATCTAGATCGGACAAAATATATTACGCCGTTTAAATGCGCCGCTTCTCCACCTTTAAGCAGTCATGGGGGATTCTCTGGGCATTCCTCCAAGCGGGTATGTCCACTTCGCCTCTCTGCATCTGGCACATGCAATAGACTGTTGCAACCCCGTGTTCCGTGTTTTTTTTTTCTTTCTCTTTTTTTTTACTTCGAGTCATTGACGCTTCGAAGAGAAAATGGCTGCTGCGTTGGGTTTCTGGGAATGAGAATGTGAGGAGTGTTGAAAGGGTTAACGCCGTATGCATTTTTGTTCTTGGGTATGTACGATGATTTTCTTTTTGCAGACTAATAGGAATAATTAATCAAATAACTATTTCACTACACGAAGAAGGTGATTACAAGTAATTACCACTTCGAAGACGTACATTATACATTCCAACTACCCAACTACACATCATCAGCCCAGGAACTAGATCATTACATTCTAAAAAAGTTTCACTCAAGGCTGCAAAACACAAAGACAAAACGAACGGATAGAAACAACCAAGAAGTCTGCGAATTCTTGCCAGATCTCTGGGCCTAATCCAGGAAAACTGCAGTCCCTCCTTAAGCTCTCAATAAGACACCACGGGATTCAATGTAAAGACATCCACGGCTTGTAGCAGATGGCTTCGAAAAGGTGGTTGTGTAACCTGTGTTGGTCTTTCGTTTTTCGGGGAGGGAAGAGGTGGTTGTGGCGCTGGGGTTTCGTTTCCGTAATGTGGGAAAAGGGATTTTTTATTTCGTTAAACTGATTTTGAGACTCGGAGTAACTGTATCTGGGTAGGATTATTTGCTTGCGCTTGTAAATACACATTTCTGTTCATACAAGCAAGCACTATCGCACATACATGCACACGCAGACATACAAGCAAATATAATGCAGACGAAAACAGGAACATCCACACTAACAATCCCACGTTTTCAACTGCTCAGAGTCGAAATACCACTAAAACTGCAATAAAAGTCGAAAAGGTATTCAGATTGTAAGAAATAATTTCAAACAGAAACATCAATCGTTAAAATACAGAATTTAATTTACCTCCAGTAAGAATATCGCATATCATTCTCAGTGAAGCTTAGGGCAGCAAAAGATAGTGCTATGGAAAAAATAGAAAATGTTGCATTATCAGTTCCTCGGCTGGATATGCGTTGTGATAGCAGAAGCAGGAGGTGAAGATGGGCGAACGAGTATTATTTCTTTAACCCTTTATCTAATCATGCCAGAAAAAAAAATGCTAGGACAGGTTTATGTACACACACACATACACACACAGATATACACACACACATAAATAAGTTTATATATATAAATAGAGTTAAAGAGATAGATATAGATACATAAAGATACTGACATACATTTAGATGCAGATAGATTGATAGATATAGATAGATAAAGACAATGTCATACACATAGATGCAGGAAGATACAGATATTGATAGATATACATAGATAAAGACACCGACATACATATAGATATATGTCTGTGTACGTGTTTATCCTCACGTGCATTTCATCTCTCAGATTAGAACGTTAAGATCAACAGTACAATGATTATCTGCTTCTGCCTAATTCTCTCCTCCTCTCCTCCTCCTTTTGTGTGGAGACAGATAGCGTCCTGCCAAATATAGTTTAACCTTGCTTTTTCGATCTCACGTCTTTTAGCACTTGTTATTGCCCCTTTCCATCTCTCACGATTTGGGGCTGTTTGTTGAAAAACGGCTGCCGTGTTTGCAGTGGGTGACATGTGTTTATTGACATCCCGAGTACAGAAGCTTCCGTTACGACTAAACACACGAAGCAATACACGACTGGTTGATAACAGAAGCGATATGTCAAAAACTGTTCGTTCAGTGTTGGCGATCATATACCTGCCGTGTCTTGTTTTTCGCTGCTCATCTCACTCCAAAAGTGATATAAAATCATAAAAAACCTTAAGTATATGCATATGTAGATGTGTGTGTACAGTACGTGTAAGCGAAGCCGGTAGACCCACGTGGCTGGGCTGTCGGCGGCGCATGCGCGGTCCCGGCGGCGCGTGCGAGCGAGAGTTGCCCGAGACCCTTTTTTCCGTCCGATTTTTTCCTTTTTAATGGTAAGATTATGATATTGTTTTTTGGGAAATGAATTCGGTTTGTGGATAATAGGGTTTTGAAGTTTTGCTTTGTGCATTTGACAAGTCATAAAGAATAATGGGAGACAGGAAGAGGGAATTTTATATAAATTTTTAGACGAGTGGGAAAGGAGCCCGGGTGCACGCGGACGGCAGCACACAGTGCCAGGTATCGCCCAGGGTTGGGTGCGTGTCGAGCCTTTCGGTCAGTCTAGCGTGGAACGTGTTCGCGTCAAGGCACTCTCCCACTCGCGCTCTCTCTTCATCCATACACACTACTTTACTTACTCACTCCTCTCTCATATACTCCACCATGCTCATGCCCGGTGCCCTGCCTGCTGCCATGCCCTCCGGAATCACCACGCCCACCATGCACCCACAGACCATGGAGGCGGCAGGCATTAGCCAAAAGGACACGACCTTCACCAAAATATTCGTGGGCGGCCTGCCGTATCACACCACCGACAAGTCTCTTCGGGAGCACTTCGAGGTCTACGGCGAGATCGAGGAAGCCGTCGTCATCACCGACAGACAAACGGGCAAAAGCCGCGGCTACGGTTTTGTAAGTACCCAGTTGACCCCTCGTTATTTTCCCCTTACTATTTTTATCTGTGTAATCTCGTTTTCTTTTGTTTGTTTGTGAGTCGCGTTGGATTGCGCGTGTGCTTGCGTGTGCGAGTGACACTGAGTTTTTTGTGAAGTGACTCCTCGGTTGGGTATGAAGTCCAGCCCTCCATTAATAGTAATGCAAATAGAAATCAAATCTGCAAGACCAAGATTCAGATCTTATTAAAGCCACGTGTGAGGATTCGATACTAATGCGCATCCTGTGTTTTAAAAATAGAAAGAGAGAGAGAGTGAGAAACAGCAGAAAGCTCCTTTGCGCGAGGCTCCCCCAGCAGGAAGCGGCGGCGTGTGTGTGGCATGCAGGACATGTGGCGGCGGGGTATCTCCGTCAGTCAGTCCATGTTGGCCCTCCATATGCTGTGCCGCGGGGGTGGATAGCTCGCGCTCCTTCTCTTGGTCTCCATGTTCTCCCTTGTTTTCTCGTGGTCTTTCCTTCTAATTCTCTCTCTCTCTCTCTCTCTCTCTCTCTCTCTTCTCTCTCTCTCTCTCTCTCTCTCTCTCTCTCTCTCTCTCTCTCTCTCTCTCTCTCTCTCTCTCTCTCTCTCTCTCGCATTCAATGTTTGCCAGTATTGTGAAAAAACGTTATTAGTCGACTTTCAAACACAGCATGTAGGAGAGAGCTAACTGTAGCAAGTTATCTTGTAGTGCCACTTCAGGGGGGGTTTGGGGGTTCTCGTCGGTTGGGGGGAGGGGGCGTCTTATCTACCGGGTCTGTAGCCCTTACTGCTTTACAGGGTAACCGCTGAGAGTTTTAAGGCATTTTTTGAAGAGCAAACGTGTTTATTTCACGTCGAAGAAACTCATTTTTAGCGAGTTACTTTTTTTTCATTAACCACTTGGCTAATACGAATTTGACCACAAAAATTAACACGACGGTTGCCTGAGATTTTAGGGGATGTGGTTTAGGGTTAGTGTAACTGTTGTGTGTGTGTGTGTGTGTGTGTGTGTGTGTGTGTGTGTGTGTGTGTGTGTGTGTGTGCGCGCGCGCGCGTGCTGATGTAAGCAACACAGCACTCCCTTTTCCTTCTCCACTTTTGAGATAAGAGATACGTGTTAGCTCTTTTTATTGTCTTTTTCCCCAATTAGTATGGAGAACCGTGTATAGTTTGTGCTTATCCTAATCGTAATGAGGCAGTATACATCTGTATGTAGAACCCAATAAAAAAGTATTTAGAATGGAACACAAATAAAACAGTGGTTTCACGCACGTGGAGAGCGAATGTAGACGAAAAAATGTTTTTGTCCATTTATCTGCGAGATCAGCGGTAGTCTAAACGTTTCGATTGAAGTGAAAAAACGAAACGCCCCCCCCTCCCCTTCAGTCCCCTACCCTACCCTTATCTCTTCCTCTTATACGCTACCCCATACCCCCTTATATATTAATTCTGTCCCCTAGCTCCTACCCCTTATACAAATCCCTTACCCCTTATACCCCGTATGCGATACCCCTAGTCCCTTCTCTTATATGTTATCCTTATTCTTTTTCCCTTTAAAGCTGCCCCTTACCCCCTCATACTCTACCCCCTCCTCCTCCTCCTCCTCATACGCTACCCCCCCTCCCCCCCGCCCCTCCTCATACACCACGACAATAAGCCAGCAATAATGGCGTTTACTCGAGTGAAAATTTCATGATATAACAACTTGACTCTTTTTTTTTCGTCGTGACACAATATTTCGTCAATTTATCGCCAGCTTGTCAGGGGAAAGATACATTATTACGTTTTAATATTTGATTGGCTGTTTGATTGGAAGTTCACTACTTGATTTATGTCTGAAGTTGGTGACGCTTGTGTACTAATGTTTGAGAGGAAGGGAGAAGCGAGAATGTGATGTAATTATGTGATATTGATGGGGTGATGGGGGATGTGTGTGTGTGTGTGTGTGTGTGTGTGTGTGTGTGTGTGTGTGTGTGTGTGTGTGTGTGTGTGTGTGTGTGTGTGTGTGTGTCTCATATTTGTCTCGCGCATAGGCCTAGTCTCTCTCTCTCTCTCTCTCTCTCTCTCTCTCTCTCTCTCTCTCTCTCTCTCTCTCTCTCTCTCTCTCTCTCTCTCTCTCTCTCTCTCTCTCTCTCTCTCTCTCTCTCTTTCTCTTTCTCTCTTTCTCAGTCACTCAGTCATTTCTGATAGATAACAGCGTCTTATCTCTTTAAAAAGATCACAAAATCCGTTAAGATTTCTGCTCGATTGCCCCAAAACCAATGCTTGTGGTCTTCTTAAAGCTTTATGTCCCCAGATGACATGACATTTAATCCTGGTTAAGCTTAGGACTTTTACCATCCCCTTCCCCCTCCCCCCCCCCCCCTTTATCCATAGTCGTTGGTCCTCGGACACGTGCTATATAAAGGTAAAGGGTGGATATATTGTCTTTGTAAATTCTCTATGGCTAGGATTTATGCGGTATAAAAAAATCATTTACTGAAAAGAGAGAGAAAAGAAAAAAAGAAAGAAAGAAAGAAAGAAAACTGTAAAATTATGGGTATGTTATTAATGTCTTAAATGGGGGGGAGGGGGAGGGGGTGAAGTAAGGGTAATGTGTTTATGATTTATAAGTTTATTTGGAAATCAGTGTCAATTTTTTTTTTTTTTATGTCCGCTTGTGAAGTAGAGGCCCGGCGCCATTTTATTTTTTCTCTCTTGTTTTCTCGTATCTTCTTAGTTGTTTTCCTTTCTGCTCTTTTATGTTCTTCTTTTTCTTTTTCTCGCTCCTCTCCTGTCCTGTCTCCTGTCTCTTTCTTCTTTCTTCTCTTCTCTCTCCTCTCTCCTCTTCTCTTCCCTTCCTTTCCTCTTCCCCCTCCCCCACCCCCTTCCCTTGTATAAGACGTCATCTTACCCTTAAAGACACGAACTCTCATCGCCTCATGTTATTGTCATGTCATGTCACTAACGTCATCGTGTCATCCCGCCCTTGGGTCACGTCCGTGTGGTTTTGGGATAGGATTTTGAGCCTTAATGACGGCCCTCATTCGCAATTCCTTGACTCCAAGTTCTCTCTTTTCTTGAATTGAAGAAATTGAGAAAGGAAAAGAAAGGAAGAAAGAAAGAAAGGAAAGAGAGAGAGAGAGAGAGAGAGAGAGAGAGAGAGAGAGAGAGAGAGAGAGAGAGAGAGAGAGAGAGAGAGAGAGAGAGAGAGAGAGAGAGAGAGAGAGAGTGAGAGAGAGTGAGAATGAGAGTGAGAGTGAGAGAGAATGAAAGAATGAAAGAATGAGATAGAAAGAAAGAACGTGATAGATAGAAAGAAATAAAGAAGGAGAGCGAGAGAGGACTAATATTTATGTAAACGGTACTTAAGCACAAACACGGGTATTAAGAAGGATTACAGGTAGTTTGTCTTTTGGGAAAATACGACGGGATTTTACAGCTTTTCAACGTGGATTTACGGCTGCATTTTTATACTTTTTAAGAGATTTAGCTTTACGTGCACGTAGGCCTATTTCGCCCAGAGTAGTGATTTTTTGTTTCAATTTGCAAGCTAGGGATTTTTTTTCATTTTTTTAATTTTTTTTTTTTATTATTTATTTATTTATTTATTTTTAAATTGCCTAACTACTTAACTTCAATCACAGACGCGGGCATATACAGTACAGTGCGCACAGACAGACGCGTTCCCACACACGACTATACAGATAAGATATAATCCTTTGATATAAAAAAGATGTGGGGAAAGGAGAGGCATGATATATATATGTTATAGATGCTAGGATGTTATCTATCTATGTTTCTTTCTATTTGTTTCATTTGTGCGAACATATGAACATATATTCACACACACACACACACACACACACACACACACACACACACACACACACACACACACACACACACACACACACACACACACACACACACACACACACACCTAGAGACAGAAATAAACACAATCATACATATTAAACGTGCATAGACCTATATTTACGATGAATTCTGATACCGACATAGGTACTCACAGTCACACTTTCAAACACTAACATACACAATACGTATAACCCCTTATTATATCACTGAAATATCAACATACAGCATTAGTATTTCCTTGATTGCTGAGTTACGATAGGCTGCCCTATCATAGAATCATCTTAATCAACACTTTATCATATGTTGATTGTGCGTTTAGGAAGTGCCTTTTGAATTCGACTTTTGATGATGTGTTCAGTGTCAAAGAGGGTTTTAGGGGAGACTTGTTAGCAATGGCTTCAAATGCGCTTTGTAAATGTTCTCACTTAGAGCGGTCTAGTTTTCCCTTAAAAGAATACGTTTAAAGTACGTTCAAAAATGCTTTTAGACAATGTTTATGGTTAGGGCCAAGAAAATGTTGAAGTGTTCCAATAAGAGATGTATTTTCTCCTCTTCTATTCTCTTCTCTTCTCTCTCTATCTCTCTCTCTCTCTTCTTCTCTCTCTCTTCTCTCTTCTCTTCTCTCTCTCTCTCTCTTCTCTCTCTCTTCTCTTCTCTCCTCTCCTCTCCTCTCCTCTCTCTCTCCTCTCCTCTCCTCTCCTCTCCTCTCCTCTCCTCTCCTCTCTCCTCTCCTCTCCTCTCCTCTCCTCTCTCTCCTCTCCTCTCCTCCTTTAAGCAGACAGAAAACGCTCTTAGAAAAGTATTGTTGACCATTCTTCCGAAAAAATTTACTCCCTGGCAAATTATTCTGACATTGCATATTGACAGGGCTTGTAAATAAGGCTCTAAGGAAATGCTTTCATACAAGCCGTCCTGACAATGCTTTCAAACAGTGCGTCCAGACAAAGAGAGAAAAAATAGCTTGCGCATTATATCCTCGGCGATCACAAGGCGTGCATCACCCGCGGCACCTCCCAGGGTTTGGCGCACCCCCCCCCACCCTCCATACCTCCCTCTCCCTCTCTCCCTCTCTCTGTCCCTTGTCTCGCAGCCTCTCTTCTCTTCTCTTTCTCTCCCTTTCTCTTTCTCTTTATCTCTTTAT